CAAGTACTCACCTTAATATTTAAAAAAAAAAAAATATAAAAAGGTTGGAAAAAATCTAAAGTAATAGTTTTTGCATTTAGTAAATACAGTTAGTAAGTGAATAGTCTAAGAATAGTCAGTTTTTAATAGATATAGTAGAGTCAATAGTAGATGTATTTGAGGTATTAGATGTTAATTGAAGAGTGGGAATTAAAGAGTAGATTTTTGAACATTTGGATTTGTTAGTTATATTGTAAGCTTTAACTATTGTTGTTGAAGAATATTACATGCTAACCATATTTGTTAATAAAACTAATTAAGAAAAACATTAAATAAAGTTGTGAGAAAGGGTAATGTTGTTTTGTGAAGAAATATTTTAATATTGTCATATAGAGATATAGGGTAAAGGCCTTGAATAAGATTCAAAAAATAAAGATGTAGTGATGTATTAAGATAGTGGAATAATGTAATATGAATAGTATTTGTAATTTCAGTAAAGATATTTAATTGTTAGCTAGTATTTGTAATTAAGCTATGAAGAATTTGTTGAAGATTGAATTTTTGTTTAGAGTAAGTTAATAAATGGGTATATCTTCAGTTAATTGACAATAAATACAATTTGGAATAATATATAATAAGAGATAGTATATATTAAGATTTTGCATAGTTAGTAAGTTGTTATTGATTATTTTTAGTTAAAATAAATAGAATTTTTGATCATTATTAAGTGAATTAATAATATTAAAATTGGTAGACCATTTAATAGAAAGTAGATTTTGAAAATATTTAAGTTGTGACCAAGTAAGGAGTGATTAAATAGTTGTAGTATTTTGGAGAAAGGAATGAATTTTAGTAGGGATTATATAATTATGTCATATAAAGTAAAAAGAAAGTATTGTTTTAAAGTTGAATATAATTTGGTATTTATTAGTACCTTGTTTGGCTAGGAGATCAGTTTGATTGTAAAAAGAGTTATTAGAATGAGATTTAATTTATAAAAAGAAATATTAAGAGACTTTGTTTTAATAAAATAGTGAATAATGAATAGGATATCTTAGTTTTTTATATAAGAGAATTTATATAATGATGAAAATAGTTGAATATTTTTAAGTACAAAAAGATTGTCCAAATATATATTATTTTATGAATTTATTAGCAAGATAAGAAGAAGATATATTATTGCTTCAAGTTCTGCTTGGGTAGAATCAGAATATAAAGAAATAGAATAGTTAAATTTAATTTAGATATTATGTTCAGACATTTATCTAATTCCAATTTTAGAATATGATGTTTAATCATTAATAATTAAAGCATCTATATAGAAATAAATATCATTTAGAAATTTTTTGTTAATAAAAATAATTTGATGAGTTGGTTTTGGTAGTTAGAAAATAATATATATTTTTATATTATTTATATTTCCATTTTAGGAATATATATAATTGAAGTTTGAGTTGGTATAAATAGTAAAGAAGTTTGTTGTAATATATTAATAAGTGTATAAATTTCATGATTATCAATGTAAAGAGAATAAATATTATTTTTTTTAATGACTCAATATTTGAAATATTAATAAAAGTTTAAGATAATGATATAGGTAAATTAGTAGAAGTCAGAAATATAGAGCCATGAATAGTATTATTGATTGAATAGAAATTAGATGAATTCTTTATAAAAAGAATTTAGGAATTGTTAAGAAAAATAGACTATTAGTTTAATAGTAATAGATAAAAGGGTATATTGTATTGAGAGAATTAATAAAGCTATTAATATTAGGTAGGTTAAGATGTGATCATATTTGGTAAATAATATTATTTTGAATAAAATTATGAATTTGGTAAACCAGAAAAGAATAAGTCTATATATGGATTTCTTAGTTCATATATATATATTATTCCAAGATAAAAGATATAAGTTATCAGCACTTGTAATTTGTTCAATAAAGAATATTTTATTATTACAAAGACTATTTGTTAAAGAGAAAAAGATATTAAATAGAAGAATATTATATTGTTTTTGTAATTATAGTGATATTAGTTAGTGATAAATTTAATGAGTTATTAAGTGAAAAATAAATATTAGAATTATGTAAAAGTAAGAGTTAAAAAATAAAAAAAAAATTTTGGTTTTTAGTAAGAATTTAAAAGATGTATTCAGCAAAAAATATGGTTATCATATTTTAGTAAACTAATTTTTAATTTTGGTTTCACCAATATGTTTAAAAAGTAAAGTAAAATAGAAGATATGTTCAATTATTGATATTACAACTTTTTAAGTTAAGTATTGAAATGTTAGAAATTTAAGAGACAATGAGTGTAAGAAAAATATTAGATGTATTTTTTGTTAAATGAAACATTTTTTTTATTATAATTGAAAGTAATCATAAGAGTTTTTGTTGTTGTGTTTTGGATATTAATAAGATTTGTAGAAGATATTTTAAGAATAATTGTAATATTATATTAAAGAATATAGAAATTTGTTTGGATATAAGTTTTTTATATTTAATTAAAGAGAGAAAGTTTTTAATTTTGTTTTGAAGCATTTCAAAAGGTGGTTTAGTAAAACCATTTTCATCAAAATAGATACTAAGATAATGTATAATTTCATGTAATTTATATAAAGATATTATTTGGTTATTGTAATAAAGAGTCAATATAGAGATATTTAGTTTATTTTGTTTTGAGAAATATATAAAAGATCAGATTTAGTTAGATTAATTTCAATGTTGTTAAGATTGTATAGTTGTTGTATATTATAAAGAATATTTTGGAGGATTTTAGAGTTTTTATTATACCAAACAGTGTTATCTATGAAAACTATAAAAGGTATTATTATTGAAGAAGGTGATATATTGGAAATAATCTTAAGTGATAAAGAGAAGGTAATTTTAAATAAATGATTATTATATTTATTATGAATATAAGTCAGAATTGGATCATAATAAATTTTTTAAAGAAAAAAAGAGTATGTTTCATTTTGTTCAATACCTGATTTGATATGAACAGACAATATAAGACTATGTGCAGTAATTATTCTTGCTTGTTGGTTTGTATGTAGTTTAGTAATAAGTTAAATTTCTTTTAAAAGAATACCAATTCTTTTGCAAGTGTTCTGTAATTAAGATATATTGATTTTATTAAAAGCTTTGAACATGTCTTAAAACATTATTCAAGCTTCTTTATTGAAATGTTTGTAGTGTTTAATAGTATTGTTAAGGATTTGGATAGGAATATGTGTTAAGTAGACTACTTAAATAAGCAACAAAAAGTTGTATAAATAACTAGTTGTATATATTTATCTTTGTACATACAAGTTATATATATATATATAATTAAAAATACAATAAAGGTAGTAGTTACTATTAGCATCGACCTTAACAAAAGCAAAAAAAATATTAAAAAAATACTTGTAATTATATTACTAATATGTAATCTTAATATTAAACATAATTTTATTTCTTATCTTTAATATTAAAAAAAATAAACAATTTTATTATAATTATTGTTATATACAATAACATTATAATTAAATTTTATTATCTTTAAACTAAATATCTTTATCAAGACTTTTTAAAATCTTAATAAATATTTACAAATCTATTTACTTAAATATTGTTTACACATGTGCAATAATTATTTTAAAATTAGATTAATATCATTTTGTAAAAGCAAAAAATATCAAAAAATTAAAAAAAAACTTAACAAAAAATTTAACAATAATTTAAATTTTATTTAAATAATTTAATCTTTAACCAAACTTGAATATTTAATAGATACCCAGAGTAATTATTTAGCAAAATTTTATATAATTTACAGTTTCAAATATACTATTTAATAGGTTTCTAAGCAAGGCCTTTTTTTAATTATTAAGAAATAAATTACTATACTATATAAAAAAAATTCAATAATTAATAACTTTTTATATAATAAAAACTAATATTATTAAAGATATAAAAAATCCTGTTTAGAAACACTCAGTATAAACTCTATTATTTCCAATTACGACTTAAGCCAATTGATTATGTAACAAATAAATCATGCTTTAACGTTAAATTGGTTTAAATCAAAAATCGGTGATTTATATCATCGTGATTTAAATCATGTGCCATCCCTGCATGTACTAAATTTATTGATTAGCCAATCAAACTAAAGAGAAATATCTCAAAATTGAACTAGCTGATGATGTAATCGATTAGTTGTTTAAAATCTTTTAAATCGATTAGTTGGAAAGTTATCAACTAGTTGATTTTTCAACTATGATTTGGATCACAATTCTGAGCGTCTGTGCAATTATTTATTTCTTAAATAAGTTTAGAACTAAAAATTACGACGTTTAAGTACGAAAAAACTAGGTCTAAATTTAATACGTATGCTGCAATTATAGAACGGAATTACTTAATTCGTAAGAGTATCAGGAAATACACATATCAGGCATGAACTTATATTTTTAAAAGATTAATTTATTTTCAATAAAAATCGAAAGCTCTAAACAAGAGACATTAAATGGTTTACTAGAAAAAAATTTACAAAATAAGATAAACTTCTATCAAAAAATAAAGTATTAAATTTATCGGACATAATAACTATTTTATTCTTAATATCGTTGAGCGTCACGCTCGTAGTATCGCTTCTCGTATCCCCGTTTTTCGTATCCTGGCATGGCGTCACGCTCGTATCCTCGCTCATATCCTGGCATGGCGTCGCGCTCGTATCCTCGCTCGTATCCTGGCATGGCGTCGCGCTCGTATCCTCGTTCGTATCCTGGCATGGCGTCACGCTCGTATCCTCGCTCATATCCTGGCATGGCGTCACGCTCGTATCCTCGTTCGTATCCTCGTTTGTATACTAAGGCGTCACGCTCGTATCCTCGTTCGTATCCTCGTTCGTATCCTGGCATGGCGTCTCGTTCGTATCCTCGTTCGTATCCTGGCATGGCGTCGCGCTCGTATCCTCGTTCGTATCCTGGCATGGCGTCGCGCTCGTATCCTCGTTCGTATCCTGGCATAGCGTCGCGCTCGTATCCTCGTTCGTATCCTGGCATAGCGTCGCGCTCGTATCCTCGTTCGTATCCTCGCTCGTATCCTGGCTCGGCGTCTCGCTCATATCCTGGTTCGGCGTCTCGCTCATATCCTGGTTCAGCGTCTCGCTCATATCCTGGTTCGGCGTCTCGCTCGTAGTATGGTTCGGCGTCACGCTCGTAGTATGGTTCGGCGTCACGCTCGTAGTATCTCTTCTCGTTTCCTCTCTTTTCGTAGTATCGCTCATAGTATGGTTCGGCGTCTCGCTCGTAGTATCTCTTCTCGTTTCCTCTCTTTTCGTAGTAAGGTTCGGCGTCACGTTCGTAATATCGCTTCTCATAGTATGGTGCGGCGTCACGCTTTTCGTAGTATGGTTCTGAAATAAAACCGGAATATGAATCATAAGCCTTTCAGTTATTTTTACATTTATTGTTTACCATTCGAGGATAGTGGTGACCATTTTACCTGCAACTACAGCAGAAGCCAATAAAGTCACAACCGCAATAATGGAACAGAATTTCATCGTTATTATTATTTTATTTATTTTTTATTATAATATATATTTATATTATATTATTATATACTTTTTGTTTTTTTGAGGATTTGTTCAGTGAAGAATCAAGCCAGAGGGAAACAGAAAAGGTTTATATAGATATTTTTCGTCATAAGGTTTACTATGAATCCATAAAGCAGTTACACTTGATGCTTAGGCCAACTATTCAACTATTTGGATTGTGTAATATAATAATAATTCGTTATAATTAATTCAAAGAACGCCACTATGGCTTTGTATTTGTTATTTATGGTTTATTAGATAAACCTCAAAACAAGAGATTCTTATGATAACATGTCGGTTAACATACAATGGATTTAATGTATTAGCATAAAATTTGTTAACATTGATTTCAGAAATGCTTAATGAAGTTAACAAATGGATGTAATTTGAAATGCGAAATTAACTTCACCAATATATCTAAACATAATATCGTGATATGAAATAACAACCCTTTACTTTATCACATAATAAATGTAAGCCTTACGCGTACCAGGCATTTTTGTATTCTGAGTGAGATAGCGCAATCGTTTATCATTAAGTCGTAAGGTTATTATTTGTGATATATTTTGAGGCTAACAATATAAACTTTGAATTTCTATTAATTAACGTTATCAAAAATGAACAATGCGTGTGTTCTCTTAACGAGGCGTTTGACGTGGGAGGTTCGAAAATAGATTTATGCTAATGAATATTTGTGGCTAAGTAACAACATAATAATAAGTTTGGTATGTTTCTGCGTAAATTGGTATTGAGTAGTAAATTGTTACAACGTAATTGTTTGGATGGTATTTATTTGTCAGCATTAGAAAAAGCACAAGCCTCATTGTATGCTACGCCACAAGCAAAAAAATACGTGTGTACTTTCAAAACTCTAAATCATGTTCAACATTTCGTAACGATAAGTCATAATGCGTACGTACGCACTATTGTTGAAACGTATTTAAAGTACGAACATATCAACTGCCTCAAAACATGGCTTGGTTCTTATTCCAACATTCAGCACAAATAATAAATCTTATAGTTTTGATAAAATTTTAGAATTTCGAACAGCTAAGTTTGTTTATAAGAAAAAAGAATTTACTTGAGACTGCAAGTGATGAAAAAGCCACCTTGTAGATATAGTAAGTAGATCATCGCTTTAAAATTTGTAAATACCATTAATTAAAATGATAATTTTAATCTGTATTTTGAAAATAGGTCCTGAATATTGGCGCAATAACGAATCTTCTTTAGACAATTTTTTTTTTTGTTGATCATAGCAACATTTGATCTAGATCACCCAAAGAGTATTTGTCTATTATTATTTGAATTGTTTGCCGTTGAAAGCTTCTGAGGAAGTTGTGGGTCACTCGGCTCAGTTAAAACAAATGAAATCGACTTAACAATCAGCAGAGACCATGGTATGAGCAGACCAGCATCGCCCACTAAAAATGTAGCTTACGTCATAATTAAAGCTCTTGATTTCATATTTTTATTTATTTATCTATTTTATTTAAATAATAATGTGATAATTTATTCGATATGCTAAAAAATGTCACCAAGCGATAAATTTATGATGTAAGCTGGGTCTGTTCCATGGGATGCTTCATGATAATGTATCATTGGTGCTGACATATTGTAATCTGAGGTCTTATAATATCTGACTGCTCATATTTTTATTATTTATAACACATGCGATTATGTTTAATATTGAGCAAATTAATCATGTGACTTATTTCGGCGCTGAAATATGAAGTGTCACGATACATGAAATGTGAACAAATAACATTTTAGCTATTTCGTTATTGACAATTACTGAAAATAGCCAAATTCTCATAATAGCAAGAGTTTCTAGCCTAAGTGACTTTTCTATATAAGTGCTAAAAAAACATAACAGTATTTAATAGGAATGAGAGCCACCAGAAGAGCCAGTTTACAATTACACTTTAACTATTCACATGACTTATTTTACGACACATCTGTGTCAAATGACTTGGGAATTTAATTGATTATTAGTTAATTCCGCTTGCAATCCAGAGCCCAAAACTTTATAAACATGCTTGGATTACTACCACAGGCTTAAGAAATCCAAGAATTTCTAATCTGTTTTAATATGAAATTATATTATAAGAAATTAGATAATATATATAAGAATTAGATTTTTTTAACATTAGAATGATTAATGAAAGATCTGTGCAAGTAATTTAAAATTTTAACCAAATTATATATTATTCACTTTTATATTATAATAAATTAGAAAACTAAACAGCTTCTTTTATGATAATAAATAAATTAAATAATAAAATAATAAGCTGTTTATTTACTTATTTTTAAGAATTATATTGTTACAAAGTAGATTATTAGCATAGCATAATATATTATATTATTAGTAGTTATAAAATAGTAAAATCTAAGTCAAGATATAAAAACTTTAAACTAACAAAAATGAAAAAAAAGTATTTTTTATATATTTTTTTATCTAATAGAAGTAATGAAAATTTGAAAACCATTATTTAATACTGTATTAAGAGTAATAAGAATTCAAATAATATTAATTAATAATGTGCTTAAGACAGTAAGATTTGAACAACATTAAACTTAGAATAATAAGATTTATATAAAAATAACTAAAGATATTGTTTATAATATTTGTTATTTATATTTAAAATACTTGGGACTTGTATTAAGATACTTGAATCTATGCAAAAATACTTGAAATTTATAATTATAATAGCAGTGAACAAATATATATTTAAGAAAAAAGTATACAATAGATAACAAATAGAAGGCATAGCTAAGAAGAACAATAGCAAGAAAAAAATATTATAGAGTTTTAAAGACTAGTCAAATATGCAAAAACAAAGAGAAGACAAAGAGTTGCAGAAGCAGATAAAAGTGAAATAAATAGAAAACTCAAGATGTTTGACAAAAAAATTAGTATGAAATTACCAAAAATCCAAAGGCAGTGGTCTGATGTTTAGATAGAGAACATAAAAGACTAGCAGAAAATTCTTCAAGAGAAAAAAAAAATGAATGAAAACAAAAATAAAAAAAACAGATAGAAACCAATTAAGAAAAAATAATAGCTAGCCTCTTGAACAAGCCAAGTTCCAAATACAATTTTAAATAAGATTGATATAGTGAATAACTAACAGATAGATAAAGTTTTATTTAGTGCAATCAATGACTAATTTTTTTATTATATTTTTATTTTAATAAAGATCATATATTAGATATGTTTTTTTATATGAGATTAAAAAAAAATGTAAGCATTTATTTAATATAAAAAAATAAAGGTTAAAGATAAGGTTAAATAAAATTTAAGCTAATCAATTATGTGATATTGGATAATTATTAAGAATATTTAATTAGAAATAAGCCTAATTATGAATTGTTTATAAATCATTTATGATAATCTGGTTATTTATAAATTTTTGTATATATGATTTGGTTACTTATAAAATTTTGTACATATATGCCTGATTATATATCTGATTATTTATAAATTTTATACACTTATATGTTTATTATCTAATTTTTAATAATTACAGTATTTTAACTAAATATTTTCATTCATATAGAATAAAACAAAAATTACAATGTGATTAATAGATTTAAGACTAAGAACTTAAATTCAATTGTATAAATCAGGCCTATCGAATAATTAATTGTAAAGGCAAATACAATTATTTAAACATAATTAATTGGCAACAACAAAGTGTAAATACATGTAGAGGTTTTTTTTAAAATTGTAAATGATAGTGAACATTATTAATTTATACATTTGAGTCACATCAATAATCCAATAAACTGAATCAGAATATATAAATTTAATTAATTAAAAATATTATAAGTTATACAAGTTTTATATAATGAGCTTTTTTTTTTTGTATTAATGATTTTCTGCATTTTTATTGGCTCTAACCTAATTTTGATCTGATTTATATTAGAGACAAAATTTGGTCACATATATTGAAACTTGCTAATTTAAAGTATCTTACATTGTAGAACAATATATTAAATATTAATAATAATATATATTGATATTTAATAATATAATAAAAATTTAAAAGATAGTATATAATAAATAAAATTTTATTATTTAAATTTAATACTAAGAAGACTTTTGTTAATTAATTTAGTTTACTATTTTTATTAACTAATATATCTAAAATATAATAATTTTACAAATGATATTTACTGATTATTTTAATTTTAAATTTATTTTTAAATATAAGACTGAAATTTTCTAATATTATAGAATATATAAAGATATTCTACTGATTATATAAATTTACTTGATTTACATTGTTTATACTAATATTTTAATAATAATTATAAATATATAATAATATAATATTAAAAATAATAATAATTTTATATATTTAATATTGATATAATAATAGTTATATATTCAAATTCAAAAAATATTTATGAAATATATTTAATATATACAGTATATTAAAACATAATTAATCAATAAATTATTAGTTTGATTATATATTAAATCATTTATTTGTCAGAATTACTACTAATATATTTTGTAGTAAAGTACTATATTTAAATTTGTATAATGAAGAGATAAATCATTTTAATATTTTTTAAACAGAAATTATACAGTTTTTAGCTTTGTTATAAAATTTATCTTGTCAAATTTCTATATCACAATATTCATTATTCTTAATGATAAGTAATTCTTTGTGTTTTGTATAGCCAATACTATTAAATATAAGTTAAATAAAAAGTATTATCAAAAAAATTATATTAAAAAAAGAATTATATTTGTCCTGAATATATATCAATAGTATTATCTGCAAAGGCTAAGAAGGTTGCTTTGATATATAAGTGGTTAACATATTATAAAGCTATTTTTGAACTCTATATATCTGTTTCCAACTTTAATCTTCTATATTGGGTTACAATATTATTAACTAATAGCAATGTTATATTATATAATATAGAATAATATTTAACAAAATTTTGATAAA